CCCAAATGCACACATTCCCTCTTCCACTCCAGTATGCAGGGCTCTCTCCCCATATTTTCGAGACTGCAGGACGAGGAGGATTATCCCCTGTACTGAAGTATAAATTCTGGGGGATCCCTTAGCTGTCATATGCCTGGGGTACAGAACCAGGTGTTCCCCATGTAACACATCTCTGCAGTGCAGGTCCAGGGAGATTCCCTCCCTGCAACACATCCCAAGGGTGCAAAGCTGGGGAAAATCCCCTGGGGTATCCCCCATGTAACCAACCCTCCAGGGCACAGAGGCAGGGATCCTCCCCACTAACATCCCTCTAGACTGCAGATCTGGGGGTGTCTGCCCAAGCAGTGGGATGCAGCACTGCAAAGGTATGCATCTTCCTTGCTACTCTGGGCTGCGGCAGGGCTGGGATCCCCATTGCTCAGCCACAGAACTGCAGGGAATTCCCCCTCCCGGCCCCCACACGGCTGGTACAGGGATGTTCTCCAGCCCACACCCCTCCCCCTGGGATGCCGAGCTCTGAGGATGCCCTGTCCTCCACATTGCAGGACTCCAAGCATGCTTTGGGACACACCTCCCTGATAAACCTTCCTAGGGTTCCCCTAGGGATTTACTCCCCTGGATCCTGCCAGCAGAGAGTGCTGGACACCTGCTGACACTTGTCACCAGGCCTCCTGGGATGGGTTAACCCCAACTGCTGAATCTTCCCCCTCTGCACACATCCCACCCCCGAATTGGCCACCCTCCCCAAAAGAGCTAGAACTGGGCCACCAGTGAACCTGGCTCTGGGTCTTGAGTGCAGACTGGGGGTGGGAACACGGATCTGGTGTCCTGAGACCTTGATGGTGCCTTCCATAGGGTGAGGTATGAGGTGGGGGGGTCTTGTTTCATTCCAGCACACTTGCAACCCACCAGCACCTTCCTTTCCTGATATGGGAGTTTCTGCTCTCCGGGAAAACCAGTGCCCCTATTAGACTCATGCTCCCCAGTCTTACAGTCTGACCCATTTCTGGGCATGTCCCAGATTCTGCGTTGGCTGCTGCAGGCTTCCAGACAGCAGCTCTGGGACCCCGTGCCAGCCTTAGTGTGGTCACAGGCACTCCTAACACTCCTAGCACTCCGCCCCGGGCTCCTCACGCATTTCCTTTTGCAGAGGATCACGTGTGGCAACAGGAGCTATTTTTAGCCCCAGAAAGGAGTAAAGGACCTATTTAAATGGGATGGGACACCAAGCTTTCCTGTTTGAGCTCTCATCATTCCAGACTCATTGGAGACCACGTCAGAGCCAGGAAAGGAGAGAGGGCAATGCCCGGCAGTCAGTGCTTCTGCACTGTAAAGGGTTAATGGAGCCTGATGTGTGTTTCCAGATCATCATCTTTGTTCTAAGTCCAACCAGCAGATACAATCCAGAAAAAAAAGCCAGATCCACTGGGTTTCCCCAAAGAAACCTCTGTCTTCCCATGTCACAACCCAGAGCAAGGGATTGAGACAGCAAGTAGCCAACAGCAAGGGGCAGGAGGGAGTAAGCTGAGAGGAACATGGCTTTTCCATGGCCATCAGTGTTCCTACACGTGTCCTTTTCCTGCCTGTCCTCCTGCCATTATTTTTCTTCTGGGAATACCCAAGGATGGAGGATGGCCCCCACTGTGCTGGGGAGCTGTACCCTCATTTGATAGGAGTCAGACCCTTGGCTAATCTAAGTATTGGCACCCAAGGATGTATAAGGGGTCAAAGGCAGAAGCAGGAATGGAGCTCAGAGTGGTGGACTTCCAGGCCAATGTTTTAGCTACGGGACTACACGGCATGGGTGGCAGCACTGGTTCCTTTCTAGAAAGGGCAATCTTTGGGCTGTAAGCCCTCTGAGATTTATACGGAGGTGTTTTTGCAAGGGCACAATGCAGAGGCAGGGACTTCCTCTGTGAGGGAGAGGTGGAGTTGCAGCTCTCAGCTCATAAGAAACAGTGTAGAAGAATACTTGATGGGAAAATCGGTCCCTTCCAGATGCATTGACCTGGACAGGTCTAAATCAAAGCTCATCTCCTATCATCTTTATCCAGAAATGGGGTGAATGAGCTCCAAACCAAAATGTCCTGACTCAGGCCGGGACCTGAATTCACAGCTTTTAGAGCCCAAACCCCTTTGGGTATAACAACTGGATTCTGAGCCAGCCCATGATAGAGAGGAAAAGATAAGAGCTGCATCTGGAGCTTGGGTTTACGTTCACCTTTCCTTGGGGTACACTCCAACCAGAGACCTGCCCTGGGGTCCTGTGAAAAGCAGTATTAACCTGTACCTGAATAGAACAGCTCGTGGCATCTCCCTGGGGCTGAGGTAGCCAACATCTCCTCATGGAGTCATGGACCTCTTCCTTCTCCATCCCTGAAGCCAAACATTCTACTTTTGTGTGTTTCTAGGCATCAATGTCCTGCCTCCCACTTCTTCTGCTGGCAGCTGCTTTGCGGTTCGCATAAAAGAGACATGTGGTAGTCGTTTACACAGTGTCCTCTCTGCACTGATGGCATGCCCTGGCTTTGAGTGCATGGAGGTGGCAAAGTCCAATCTGGGTATATGACCTTCTCCTTGCTTCTGGTGGCCAACCTGTGGCACAAGTGCCACAAGGGACATGGGCAGCCTGTATGTCTGATGCAGGCTAGTGGGGAGAGGGCAGGCAGCACTGTGGCAGATCATGCAGGGGTCAGAAGGCAGAGCAGCAGATTGGGTGGGGGAAAGGAATTGGAGTGGCACTCAGGGGGCACGCAGGGCTTAATTTGTGACACATCTGCCAAAACGTTTCATTCCCACTGACCTAGGGCATCATGTCAATTTATGCTTTCTATAAGTAATACCCTGCTATTAAGGTGTTGCTACGCTTGTATAAATCAGTTGTCCTCTTCTTGCAAATGACTGTACACACCCACTTATGCACACCCTCAGAGACACATGCACACACATGCTCATACACACACATTCATATATGCACCAAGTCACACATACAATCACACAGAGTTTCATGCACTCATTCTGAGACCCGCATACAATTCCACAGAGCATCACATATACATTGGTTCATGCACACAGTCAGGCACATATGGCTTCTCACATTCTCGCTCTCTGTCACACACACGATTGCCCTCCCAAACAAATATTCTCAGTGCTATGAAATACATCACTCTACGCGGCTGGAAATGCACAACCAGTCATTCTACCAGCAGATGCTTCTCACTGGGGAAACATGAATTGTTGACGTAAGCTTCATTGAAAAAAGTGAAAGGAAAATGGCTTCCCTATTGGACTTGAGTATTTCTCAGAACCCCTAAAACAGCTAAAAAGCTATGTAGTCATCCACCTACCAGCATTATCTGTTCCTCTTTTTCTACCTTTGTTGCTGTATATTCCCCACTATCTATCCATCTATCTGTCCGTCAGTGATCATTCATGCCTGTGTTGCTATATAGATGGCTTCCAGACTCCATTCAGCACTGAGAGGAGACCTGATGCAGGTCAGGAGGGAGGAGTCAGCAGCAGCTACAGGTGTTTCAGGGAATGTGGTTTCATACTCCAGAACTGCTCCTGGAGGTAGAGGGTTTTCAGAGGCTGCCCTGAGCTGGCAGTGCAGCCATCTCCTCAAAACAGTCATCACAAAAAGATCCCCACCCTCACCTGGGACCTCCTTGATTGCTTAACCTGCATTCCAGACTCCTCCTCCTGCAGTGCTGCACTCTAATCCCTTTCCCTTACCCGATCCCCTGCTCAGCTTTCTGTTCCCTGCCCTGTGCCCCCTGACCAAGCTGCTGGTCTGCTTTGTGCTCCCTGCCCGTTGCTGGTTGGTTTGCATAGACTCTTTCAGGGGTGTCAAACTCACTCCACCTCCCCAGGGTGGATCAGGACCACAGGGCTCCTTGCAGGCTGGATTCAGGTGTGCCCTTGGCAGAGGGAGTGGTGGTGGTGAGGCAAATGGAGTTGTGTCAGCACAGCTGTTGCCTGCCCCCCTTCCACCAAAGGCTGTCCTCCAATGGAGCCTCATAGCCCCAAATTCTGCAGTAGACCCAACCCCTGCTTACCCCTGCCCAAAATTCTCAGACCCACCAGGAGCCCCACTGGACAAGGAAACTGTTTGTGTGTTTGACACCTGTTACATAAAGATGGTTGCTGGTCTCTCAGGAACCTCAAAGGAAAGATGCAGTGGTTACTTCTGATACGTCTCTTAGATAAATGGGTATTTGCTCATTTGGTTATAATGAATATTGATAACTTGGAGCAGTAGCACAGTAAGGGGTGAGCGAGTGGGGCACAAGCCCCTGATGCCTAAGGGGGTAGAACTGGAGTGGAGCTTCTCTCCTGTTGGCCCACCCACACACCCTACACCTTCACTGCAACAGCTCCACATCTGGCAGGGGGGAGGATGAAACAGCAGTGGTGATGTCTGGTGCAGGAGCAGCAACTGGAGATTTGCTGCTATGGGGGAAAATGTCAGTTCTTTTTGCTGCTGAAAATTAGTGTTTAAACGGTCACTTGACACCTGTGTTGGTGCGGGGAAAAAAAGGAAGAGACATCTTCCCCCAAAACAGCCCACCTCTAGTTATGCCTCTGACTTTGGTGAGGAGGGAATGAGAGGGGTTAAAGACATATCCCTGTTTAATGTTCCTGTATCTGGGATCTCACCATAAATGATCTTACCTTATTGTTTTGCATATGAAGAAGCCATTTAGCTGATATGGGAAGACCTGGGATCACCACTGTGGTTAGCTATGCAGAGGTTCCAAGACACCTTCTTCCCTGGAGATTAAGGAAGCAATCACTTTTTTCCAGTTTCTTGGCATAGTGGCAGCCCTAAGAGGCTGCCAGAGCAACACCATATCCTGAGAGTTGATTATTTTAACCTTGGGCAGTAGAGAAGCACTATCTCCACTACTCAGGGGAGAAGGTTGAGACTTGGGTGGATTTTGGTTACAGGCCCAGTGACCTGATCAAGAACTCAGGGCTCCTAAGTCTTAAGCCAGGGATCACCCTTTAAATCAGAGTCCTCATCCAACTAAGCAACGCTCTCTTTAAATAAATGAGGTACCAGGGGGTCTGCTCCTTCATGGGGACTGGTTAGCACTAGTATTCAAAGCATCTAACCCTAAATGCATTACATTTAGTCTTTCCACAGCATTTCCATTTACAGTCAGATCAGTGAGAACAACTTGGTACATTTTCCTGCTTAAAGACCTACTGGAGTCCCTCCAAGCAGAGATTTTATACCCTAGAAAGAGAGAAGAGTCAGAGACTCCAGAAAGTACACTGGGGACATTACTATTGCCACTATATTTTCTGTGACAGGTCTTCATGACCATGATGATAGGAAGCAACCAAAGCCCTCAGATTGCTAGAAAGCTTTTACTGGGGACTTACCCAGGCAAAAAATTCCTGATGCATTTCCAACAGTGACTTTTGTCTGAGGAACTAGTTCAGAATTTGTCCCCCAGATAAAAGAAGCGTGCACCTATCTTTTCCTCAGAGTAATAAGTGCAAACACCTAAAGCTAATTAATCTCTTACAACTCCCACTTTCATATAATCATAGAATCATAGCAAATTAGGGTTGGAAGGTACCTACCCCCTGCTCAAAGCAGGACCATCCCTGATCAGATCATCCCAGCCAAGGCTTTCTCTAGCTGGGTCTAAAACCCTCCAAGGTTTCCTTCACTCCTGCCTTTTGTTCACATTTGATACCTACCTCAGCCCAGGTGCTTCAAACACCTCGGTTTCACTTATGGTCTTTAATCAGACTCCCCCTGCTCTATGCAGGCCCCCAGATCAGTGCCCATCTCACAAGACTGCAGTGTAGAGTTGGCAAATCCTGCAAGGAAGCATTTAATTCCTTCATTCCCCTCCCACGTTTCTAAAAGAAAATAATAAATCATAGAATCATAGAAAGGAAGGGCTGAAAAGGATCTCTGGAGGTCACCTACTCTAACCCCTTGCTCAAGACAGGATCATTCCTGTATAAACCAAAGGAAGCAACCAGAGGGCAGGTGGACACCAGTCTTGGGCTTGTGACCTCAGCTACAGCACTCTAAGAGATGGACTACTGCCAAGAGGCTATAGGCTTTGAAAGAGATTTGAGCCCAGATTTGAAACAGGGAACTCCTGATCTTTAGTCAAATGCCCTTTCACCAAGCTACAGTACACACCCTTTTAATTTCATGTCACTGGACATTAACAACACCATGGAAACTTGCTTTGGGGCTTTTAGGTTCTTTAAAAAGGTTGGTATTCAGTGGGGGGAGGGATCAACTGATTGATGTTTTTGATATAACCTAAATGTAAGACTTGAGGCTCTGATCCTGCAATGGATCCCAGCACACTCAGAGCTCAATGTAGGCTTGGGTTCCTTTAAGACACTGTTGTACCAAGAAATACATTTAAATGATGTTTATAATTAAGAAACTCATCAACCTTCCTGCCTGCAGCAGGAGCTAGTTATGTCTGTCACAGCACTAGACAGACAGATTGTGGAGCTGATGGGGGATCTGCCATCATGCTGCCCTTGTTCAGGCTGCGTTTCTCCCTGCACCTTTTCTCTCTCCCAACACCCACCCCTGCTTCTTGCTGCGGCCCAAGGCAGGTGATATAAATAGAAAGGTAGTTGTTTTTGCCTGCTTCTCTCCACGTCAGGAAGTGCAGTCTCTGGAACAGCTGTGCTGAAGATACATCACCAGGCTAAGCAGTCAGTAGGCACTAAACCTCAGCTGCATTCACTGCACTGGGAGTGGGCCATGGGAGCCCACCATGCCAGCTGACCTGAAGCTGGCAGAGGCTTGCTCCATGGCCCACGCTGCTTGCCCTGCCAGTGGTGTTTGTTTAATAACAAACAGCCCCTTAGCCCAACTGAGGCTGCACAGGAGGCTCTGGATCCTCCCTTGCCTGTCAGTTTTGGGATCCAGACAGATGAAAGGATGCTGTCTGTCTCAGGCTGGGGGTAACAAGGAAGAGAGACATACAAAAGGGAAAGGAGGCTGCTTTCATCTTCCACATGAAAAATGGGTCAGCAACCAATACTAAATAATGGATGGCCCCTATCTGAGCAGAACTGCATGGGTATAGACTGGCTGTCTGTCTACCTATCCTGTATGTTGCTCCATGGATAAGTCTGCCTCTTGGCCTATCATATATGCTGATCCATATCCATCCATCCATCCATCCATCCCCATACACCTCCTGTATCTACCTGCATGTGTTTCTCTCTATCCCCATACACTCCCTCCCTCTCTATCTCTCTAGTAATGACACATTGCTCTCTGGATATCTTGATCTATCTATCTGCCTACCATCAATGCATGTAATAGAAGTTCTGCATGTCTGTCCATCCACACATCCATGCCCTGGCTGCTTCCTTTTCCTGTCTAACTATTTTATCACTAAATTCACCCTCATTGGACAGCCTCTTGTTAGTTCTGATGCTTGGGGGCCCAGCGATGCCCTCAATTACAGCAGCACAACTGTACCAAAGTCAGTGAGCTTTCAGAGGCATAACCAAGGGGAATTTGCTCTGATGGACAATAATTCTAATGAATCCCATTTTACTTATCCTTGTAACCTCCCACCCTCCTCCCCTATAGATTGGATACTACTCACATACACACAGCCAGACAAAGACGCATGCACAGCTACACTGATGACAAGAGCTCTTCTGTGCACACTCCTAATCCCTTTCCTTTATAAACCTCAATGCACTCTGCAAACAGGTTGAGAACCCTTCTGCCCACCCTGGCTGTACAGAAGCCGGGCACATCTTAGGCCTACTTTTGATGGTTCACCTAGCATGACACCTGGCACCTACAGGTAAATTTCACCCTGAGGGGGGGACTTCATTTCCAGCTGATGTTTGGTTTTTGCAATTGGCATGTGGCAGCAGCCTGAAACATGATGATTATTTACAGTTCAGGAACAGCTGATGCTCCAGTCAAGATCTGGACCCTGCTGCATAGGACACAGCATAGACACATCAATGGATGGGCGGGAAACTGAGGCACACAGAATGAAATGGACTTGCCTTAAATCACACTGCACATCAGTGCCAAAGCCAAGACTAGGACCCAGTTCTCACCTGGCCAAGGCCAATGACCTTGCAGCTAGAGCACATCACCTCCCACTGTCCTGGGCACTTGTTCTCAGCCTAGAGCCTGCACTTACAGCTTGAGTCGTGGGACATAGATGAAAGAAATCCTCTATTCCCAATACCAGGCCACAGACTAACTATAAGGACCACTATAGTTCCAAGATGGCAGGAGCTTCTGTGGCTGTGACCCTGCTTCTACCATACGTGTGCCTATGCGGGTGGCATGGACAGGAGAACCAGCACAATCAGCCTCTGTCCAGCTTTGCCCTGTGCCCTCCCTGGCAAAGCACTGAGCAGGGATGTATGGGAGCATGGAGCTCCTGGGCCCTAGCAGCTCCAGTTCTGATGCATTCGAAGACTGTTTTAGCTGCAGCCCCTGCCTTGTGCATGTGAATGATTTGAAATCAGCGTGGACGGTGGGTGCAAAACAGAGCCCATTCTGGACCTCTCTGACCTCAGGCTATGACAGGACCCCGCAGGTGGCAAGAAAGGGTGGAATGAAGCTCAGGTCTCCAGTATTCCTAGGGCCCATGCCTCACCATTGCACCTTTGTTGCAGGGGAGTGGTGAGAATGGACATCAAGCTTCAAAATGTGGACATCAACCAGTGCGCCAGAGGGACAGGCTGGTTCTCGGATACACACCGCTGTGACCTCAACAGCACACAGGTAAAGCCCCCCCCCCCGTTCCCTGCACTGCTTTCACAACCACTTCCTAGGTACTCCCAAGCTCATCACAAAGGAACAGACAGTGTCCCTCCCATGCCCAGCTCAGATCTAGGATCCTAAGAAAATGGGGCTGGAAGGGACCTCATAAGGTCATTCAGTCCAGCTTCCTGCTTAAGGCAGGATCATTCCTGACTAAACCATCCCAGGGTGTCCCTACACTCTGATTTGGGATTTCAGCTTGGTGGGACTGGGGATGGAAACTACAGCGTAACTGAATTTTCTCCCCTGATGCTGCTAGGTCCTGATCAGAGCTCCCTCGGGCCAACAGAAAGACCCCATCTGACCTCAGCAAGGACTGACCCAGACCCATTTGCTTCTAACCCTTGATGACATGATACCTCCTTGCAGATTCACCCGTCTTCCAAGAGTCTTTCCTCTTTCCTGTGTTGCTTCCTCTCCCAGGTTCATATGACAAGGTTCCCCCCTCTGCTGCTGACCCATCTGCTTATTTCAGCTGCTCCCTGCCTCACAGCTGATAAGCTTCATTGTGCAAATCTCCATTTAAGCCTTTTTTTCTCCTTTTGGCTATGAGACTCAGAGTATAACATGCCTCCTTAAGAAGCCCCTACCATTCCCAGACAGCTGCCTCCAGAGACAGCAGTGGCTTATAGCCATCAGACCAGATGCTGCAGCTCAACATTATGTAGCTACTGGCCAAAAATAAGCCCTATGCTAGAAGTTTCTGAGCAAATGCAGTGGGCGTTTGAAAAGCCACCAGAAACAGAGCTGTCTCCTGCACATAATCCCTAAAATAAGGACCCCACTGAGTAGAATAATCTCTTTGCAACTTTACTGGCCTGTGTGTCCAGGCACCCCAAAGCTTTAATATATTTTGTTCCCTGAAAGGCAAAAAGAGCAATTATCCCCATTTCAAAGACAGGGGTTGAGGGCCAGGGCAATGAAAGATGCCTTCACTGCAAAAAACACTGCTATCTTAAATTGAAGGAGCTAGCAATCTCCTTGCTTTCCACAAGTTTTACCCCAGGTTGCTATGTCTTAATTACCATTTAAGGGCCCAACAGCTTTCTGTAGCAGAAAGACACTGTGGCCATTAGCTGAAAGCTAAAAGATTAGCTGTCTGCCCCAGGTGAGCTAATATATTCTGGAAAAAACATGCACTTACAGTGGGTTACCCATAAACTTTGTAGCAGGGAAGAAAAAAGGAATTCAGGCCTCTGGAGAAGCAGGCTACTGGCCCAACCACCTGGACCCCTGCCTCCAGCATGGCCTGAAGGAACAAGTATAGTGCTAAGGGTCAAGAGCTCCTGGCTCTCTCACTCCCTCGTGGTGCAGCTTTGAAACAATCTCATCTTTCCAGTGGTTTTACCTGTCTCTTGAGGGGGCAAAATCTTGATTTCCTACCTCTCAGGGATATTGCAAAGATGAATGAGTTAATATCTGCTCATATAAAATGCCAGGTATTATGAACTAGGGACTAGTCAGATCACAGCTGAGTTTGCTTTCTCCATTAGGATCTCATGGTGAAAGGCACTGGCTAGACATTCCCAAAGAGCCAATTCCTTCTCTACCCACCCCCTGGGTCCTGACATGACACCTATTTCTATCACCTTGCCTATCAAATGTATGCGCACACTGATTGGGAAGGGAGGTCACTGGGGGCAGGGGTGGGGGACTCAGAGTCAAAGGCCTGTTTGATTCTTGGTGCCTCTGCTGAGATCAGTTGGCTGGAGGAGGCTTTTTTGTAATGTCAACTCCTGTTGCGTAGGAAATTAACCTGAGACTATCAAATCCTTCTGTGCAGGCCTCTGAAACAGACCATGGACAGTCACAGTCTTGAGGTACACCTGGCCTGAACTAGAATTGAACGGCTGGCCTTCAGGCCTTGCCCACACCCCTCACCTTCCCTGACATCCGCTTCAATGCATTCTTCACTTTTCGCCCCAATGGCAACTTCTCTTTCCATTAAGCTCTTCTCCTGCAAGCCCTACCCCAGAAGGAATCATGGACCATTATCACACTGACGGCCCTGCTGGTGGGTCCCTTTCTTCCCCCCACTCTGTGTTTTCCTTGCTTATTTGGACTGTAAGCCCTTCAGATGGGGCTTCACTCATGATCTGGGGGCCCAGTTTCAGTCAGTATCTAGCTACAAGTGTAATTAACCTGATTAATTGCAGGAGCAAGGAGTGACTACTTAGCACCCCACTGCTGATGCTCAGAGCCACCTGTCATGACCAGGCTCCCCCTCCTACTCTCAGAACAGAGCAGTGTGGTGACTTGAGGACCCGAACACTGAATCTCACGTGCTGCCGAGTTCCCCAGGCCCAGCCAGTGACTGCTCACTGCTCCCATCTCTGGCTCTCCCAGCTCCACCCCCTCCCCAAACTGAGTCTCTGCCTGCCACCGCTTTAGGACAGTGGGGCTCCACAGTTGGCTCCCGTGAAGCTCTTGACCAGTGCCACAGGCTTCCCAGCCTGCTGCTGTATAGATGTCTCTGCACTACCCAGAGACCATCTATCTAGTTGTGGGAGCTCTGGTTTTTAGTTACCCTTCCAGGAGCCACCTATCAGTAAACCAGAGATGCAGGCTTAGCCAAGAGATTTCCTAATCCATCCACATGTGACTCCTAACATACCAAAGAGTTAAAGACTTCGAGAATATAGACAATTCCTGAATGCTGCCCCCACCTCACTCCGATGTTACCCCCTGTGGTGCAGTCCTGGTTGGGTCCACATCCACTGTGCCTGACTCCATTTCCCCGATAGGCCTGAAGTTGCTCCTTGGCTTAGGAAAGGCTCTGAAACAGATTCTTCCCTCTTTGGTGAGAAGGAGAAACAGGGGCTTACCCAGCCCTGTGCATAGATACTGGACATCACCCTTCTCTTCAGAGGGGTTTCTGTGAGAAGAGTCCATTCAAAGGGCAAACAAAGTCAAGGAGAGCCATGCCAAGTTTGTGACCCTTGACTGGTCAGTCACCACCATACAGACCTGGCTTCTCCACCACGTGCCAGATGCCTGATGCAAAACAGAGGAGGTAATCCACACAACGGGTATGGTTACACGTGCATTCACACAGTTAAACAGAACCTAGAGCCAGGCCTGGTCAGACTGTCCCATGCACTCCCCTTCCCTGGCTTCCACCCTCACATCTCAGAGTCATAAAAAAGTGTCACATTTTATGCAGGCACACAAACATACATATTTACACTTCATGTAGGTACATCAGCTATGGTTTGAAAATCACCACTGTTTATGTTACAGTACATCTCAAAGGACCCAGTTGAAATTGGGGCTCCACTGTGCAATGCACTTTAAAACACTTTGCAAAAGATGACCGTGCCCTGAGTTGTCTACAGTCTAAATAGGCAAGACAGACAAAGGAAGGACTATTATACCCATTTAATCGATGGGTAAGGCACAGAGACCAGGGGTGTGTCTACAATGCAATGCAAAGATGTGACTGCAGCTAGTGTAGACCTATCTGACCTGGCTGTAAACGACCGGTATGTAGTTAGGTATCCAGGTTGTAGCCATATTGGTCTAGAGAAAAAAGCAATCAGGGATCATAGTAGAGATATCTTTTATTAGACTAACAATATTTTTGCAAAAGAAATTCTTTAATTGCAAGCACCTCTGACCACCTGAAACCTGAGATACTGCTCCTGCCTTTGTTTCAAGGTAATTTGCATCATCATAGAGCCTTACAAGAGCTGAGAGACTCCTTACCAGCTAAGAACTGCCTGCCCAGAGGAGTTTTCCATCTATTGACTTCTCTGTGAAATCCTATGAAAAATGAACTTTCATTTCTACCTAGGAGAACTTTTACAATCTTTTCTCTGATGTCTGATGAAGGATGTTTGTGCCCAAAAGCTTGCAATTAAAGAATTTTTTTGCAAAAGTCTTGTTGGTCTAATAAAATATATCACCTCTACTAGAAGCCCTGATTGGTATGTGGTTACAGCGTTAAGCTAACTACCATACTGTTCTGATTATAAGCCCACCTTTTTTTTCCCTCGGAATAAACTATAAAGATCTCCCTTGACTTTGTGGACTCAGCCTATAATTGCACCCTTGAGAGTCTCGAGTTTTGTACTTGCAGTATTTCTGTGCATGCAGTGAAAAAAGCCCAGTCAGAAATATTTTCAGTGGTGCTTTTATTTAGCAACTTTAGTGCATTTAACCCTTTGCGTCTGTTCCTTGGTTATTTGTTTCTCTGTGGGAGCGAGATGTTCTTCCCTCTACCAGCTAAAATGTATGGCAGCTAAAATTCTCCTGTGGGAGTTTTGTAAGGACAGCAGCAGTTCAATGTATTGATCTTCGGTTGTTGCCTTATATTCAGGGACAATGCTGTTTTTTCCTAAAAAGGAACCTGGAAATGTGGGTTAACTTACATGCGGGGTCAACCTATAATCAGAACAATATGGTAAAACGAGGTAGCCCACAGCAGAACAGTGTTCAGCATAACCTCCCAAGACCCTGCACAGATTTTGGGGGTAGCTAGCAGAGCTCAGTGCTACCCTGTTCTCAGAACTTAAGATAAGTAGGACTTAAGATGGGAGTGACAAGTGCTACTCCCTGGAACACACTCAAAAGTGAGATGCTGAAAGGGTCCTTGGGCTTCCTCCAAACAGCAACTGCCAAGATGTTTTTTTGAGAACAGACATTCTTTTAGAACAGCGGGAGTGATAAGGCAGAAAGCTTGCTTCTCAGTCATGGTCTTGGGAGCAGTGAGGAGATAGTGGAGACCTACCCCCAGTGACTGACCCATGGCAAAGCAAAGCTGTCCCCCGGTCTCCTGAATCCCAGCCCCATAGCCTCTAAGGCCTTCCTGCCTTGTCGGTTTTCAGCTAGAAAACTGGAACAAGATGCAGAGGCACAACTAGAAATTTTGTGCCCCAGACAGAAGTGCCAGGGAAGGTAGTTGGGGGTACCAGCACTGGAGAACTATACCTGACCCAAGACTCAAAGACATCCCCGCCGACTGCTGCCATGGCATGCACTCCCCACAGGCTGCCATTCTGGTGCCCCCTCTAAAGCAGTACCAGGGGCTGGTGCCCTGCTTGCTCACTCCTAGTTACACTACTGCCAGGGACAGGTGTAGAACAAAGTGAGGAGACCTCACTCCACGCTCACCTTTGACACAGCAACACAGCTGGAACCCACATGATTAGATGAATAGAGATATCAGATTAGAATGATTTCAAGGTGTGGGGCAGGGAGGGAGGCTTAACATGCTTGGGAGCATTTCTGACACCACACTGAGCATCCACCTCTATCCTGGCCTGCTGGGAGCTCTCTCTCAAATCCCTCTGCATAGCAAGAAAGGGCAAAGCCAATACAGAGAACAGGAAGAGGATGGCAGAGATCCACCTGATTGTTTTAATTTAGTTTAATAATTTGGGGATTAAGCGATTCAGTTCTCAGGATCTAATGTCCAATTTGGTCTCCTGAAGCCTCCAGGGTAACTGATGAGCACAGCGAGGTGCCCCCTCCCCATCCCCTGGCCCTTTTTTTTACATTTAATAATACATTAAAATAAAGAAAGGAAGCGGCCTAGCATTGTTAATTAATGAGTTGCACCTCGTCCTGCTTCCCTTCTCTCCCATGCTGGGTAAATACCAGGGATTGTGGATCCCTGTGTGTGTATAATTAAAAGACTTCCTTTGAATTACTGCAATGCTATGTAAAGGCTCCTAATAGTGTTTGCAGGGTTAATGCACTCTGGTTAACACCCCCCAACACACACACCACACCACCACCACCACCAGGGAGAGAGTGAAAGTGCAGAACCTGGATACCAGAGGAGGGGGAGATGGTGGGCACCCAAGAGCAAAGTGAGGGTGTCGGGGTAGGGGTGGAGGTGGTGGGAGGCATATGGGGCTTTGGAACCCCAGGGTAAGAGTGCTGCCACCCTGCCTGTGCCCTTCATCACCACAGCTCAGACATCTCTGTTCATACAGCCCAGGAGTATTTCATGAGCTATGGTTGCTCCTGTCTCTCATGGCTCCTCTGCCCCTGTGCCTGGCCCCTATTCCATCCCCCCCCACCCCGCACAAAGTGAGTATGGTTTATTGCCAGCATATCCACTCCCTCCTATCCATGGCTTCAACCTCTGCCAACTCTTTTTTGTGGTTACTTGGCTCCTCTCACTCATGGCACAGCTCCATCCCAGTTACCTGTGTGGCCATAGTCCTCCATGATCAGTGTGTGATGCTGATAGTCTGATAGCTGATAGCTGACAAAGCTGATAGTCCCCAGCTTGCTATTGCCGTATGTGGGTGGGTACCATCCACAGGCCCAAATGAGACCAGGGTCCAAGTGTACAAACATGTGGTAAGAGACAGTCTCTGGCCTGAATTGCTAGGTGTGCAGTACAAAGAGGAAGCAACTCACCCAGGGTCACGTAGCAGAGCAGTGACAGATTTGAGGGAAGAGATGATCTCATGGGGTCCTTTCCAGCCCTACATTTCTTGAATCTGTGTGAACCCAGGCATCTTGGTTTCCGGTTGAGTGCCCCCATCTGGTCTGTACTTCTCTCACACCCCCTTTTGCATCTCTTCTGGTGGACTCAGGGGGTTGAGATCGGGACCCAGTTGCCCAGAGGCACCTATAGCTGCTTTCGCATAGAGGGCTTGTTCAAGATTCCCTGTTTCCTGTCTGCTTTTAAAGTAGTTCCACAAGTTAAAATGCTACTTCTGTAAACACAGACCCAGAGAACCAGTCACTCTCCCTGAAGAGAGAGAGACAACACATACTGACACACTGACCTGAACAGAAGGGGATACACAGACAGGTAGTTAGCCCTGAAGTTAGGCTGAATGCAGGGAAGGGTAGCACCTTATAGACTAACACACTCAGAGAGACTTAAGCTTTCATAGCCTACTTTGTCAGATGCCATGACAAGGTCTTGTTTTTCTGAACTAGTTAGAAGGTGCCACCTTGCCCAAAAGGGTTTACAGGGTAACAAAGATCCTATTGGATATATCTCAAGAGGGAGAAATCACAGATGGGGCCCTTGACATGGCTAGGAAGAGCCCTAGGATGGAAAGCAGAGAGCTCCGGGACCTTTGCTTCCAGTTTCCAGACCAGTGATCAAAAGCAACTGTATGATGGCTTTGCACTGGGCTGTGGAACTACTGCTACAGTGTCTTCCTCAAAAGGTGTAAGTTTACTGCTCGAGCTAGGGTTGAAATTTGGAATTTCTCAAATAGGAAAGCTTAACATTTCCTAGTTCTAGAGCAGATGCAAATTGGGAAATGTCAAGATTCCCTGGAAGAAAAGACACTGCCAAAATAACTGCAAACATCCTCCTCCCTCCTCTGCCCCCCCCAGTGGAAAATTTCACCCAAAGGGACATGATCTGGCAGGGAACTTCAGTTTCAGCAAAATGGTATTTTGATGATGCTTCAATGAACGTTTTAATGGCCAGCTCCATTTATAGCACAGGCAACCCTGCCTGGATGGCAAAAGAAATCGGATATTACTAAGCAGACCGAATTCCCTTTCTGCCTCATACCAGGTCAAGGCACAAGACACATGGCCATCACAGTAGGAAGGCAGATCGACTTCAGCCTTGCAGTGCAGAATTGATGTGTGGAAAAAGCAGTATCCACAGGCTCTCTGAGCCAGCAATGCAACTGTCTGCCAAAGTGTGTGGGGACCAGGTGTTTGATCTGCAGGGAAGGAAAGAAGCCAGGAAAGAGAATAGATGAAGGGGGTGGTGGGAGAGACTGTCCTCTGCCCCATGCCAGAGCCAGCTACACTGGATCAACAGACTACAGCTGAGCAGCAACAAGGCATGTTAGAGAAGAGATTTATACTTGGTGTCTAACTCAGGGTCTCTTTCAGTCTCCATTCTCATCACAAACTGCACCCTGCTTTGCCCTTGCCTACCTCTGCCTCCACTACCACCTCCCTCCCTTCTTTCTTTCTTTTTTTTTTCATTTGATATCTCAGGCCAAATTAGTTCCAACTTGTGTCAGCTAAGCAGAGCTTGATTACTCACGTCTGTGTGGCGCTACCACTGGCAAGTATCTTACCTCCCGGACTCTTCAGCCTGGGGTTTCAGATACTCCCAAATCCATGGCAGGCATCCTACGTGCAAGCCCCAAGCCCAGAGGCCTTGGAGTTCACATGCCACCTCGTCTCGCTTGCCCCTAGCCAAAAGGTCAAAGAAGCTCTGAAGCACAACCCCTGTAGGGTGAATTCATAAGGTCAGTTCCTCTTCCTTTTATGAGTGCCCATGGCCAGAGAGACCTGCCACCCACAGCTATTCTGCCTGGAGGTTTATGAGAGCAGCAGTGGGCTTTCCACTGCCCCCACCCCCACCAAGCCCTTTCCTCAGCTCCTGAACCACTCCCATCTCTCCCCTTGCAGACAGGCTGTCCTACTTCTCCTTTGTTGGCTTAGGTTTAAGGGGTCTCCAGCCCCCTGGCATTAGCAGGGCAGCTCTCAGCAGGCTGCAGGCACCCTGCTTTCGCTGTCATGCTAGCAATCGCTCAGTGGGATTTGCCTCTCGGGGATTAGTGCGCTTTGCAGCATTAGGTGTCCATTTAGGTTTTAGGAGGGGATTTGAGCATCGGGCTTTTGCTTTTAATTCTTAAATGTTTAACCACTGCTTTCCAGAAATAAACTGGCAGGGAGACTGGGGCTGAACTGAGCAGGGTGGGGCAGTACATGAGGGTGCCTACGAGGTGCGAACACCCAGCAGGTGTTGGAAATGGCCAGAGCTTCAACCTTTAGGTGCATGGGGCTGTGCAGGGCAGGGGATGCATGAAACTTACATGCTATCATGTGCTCTGTTTAGTGCGTCCCCCAGGAAAGCCATGGCTTTGTTCTTGGAAGGTACCTCTGCCTGTGCAAGCCAGGGTTCTACGGTGCAAGCAGGTCTCCCATCACTGCCCAGCCTGGTAGGTAGCCACTCTCCCCGGCCTTCTGTCTTGTTCTGTCAACTGGACTTTGGCTGGCTCTCAAGTCACACCTACAATTTAGTGGCAAAACTAGATATTCAGCTCTTCCCACTCCACCTTACACCAGTATCTGAGCCCTCTTCCAACACACACATACCTTGGTGAGGTGGGGAGGAAGTGCTGTTATCCCATTTTACTAGTAGGGAGTTGAGGCACAAAGCCAGGGAAGGGCCAGATTTTTTGTCATGTTACAGAGGTGCCCATTGAAGTGCATGGGAATTAGGCATTTTCATCCCCTAGAGGACTTGCATCAATATTGCATCAGACTTTGAAACCCATGCCTTCCAGCACCTGGTTAGTGCCTTATTAGCCACAGTACCAGCCTTCCTTCCCAGCTGCTTCATGCGGCAAGTCCAGAGCATCATACCTAGCAATCACAAGACATTCAAAGCACCTGACATGCCCAATGTATTGCCCTCTCGCAGCTGCAATTCCATGTGCTGGAATGACATGCAAGGGAAGAGACCAGATGTTGGGGTTCTGCCTGATCTACCTCCTCATTTAGCCTTAACCCTGGGTCAATCTTCCACCCAAATACTATCTGGGGAAACGTGCTTCTCATACCTCCCGCATTAGCCCAGAATCAGAGCCCCTCCCTGCACTCCAGTGAGGGAGGGAGAGCTGCAGGCACACACAGAGGTGGGAATTAGTGGGTCAAGTTAAACCAAACTCATTAAGCCAACTTCACATCACACATGGAAGGACCCGTGCATGCACACTGCATCCTTGAGAGGCCACAGACAGAAGAAAAGCCAAATCACCTTCTTTTACCTTAAACACCATGCACCAGTGCAAAAGGATTGCAAAGGAAGCGGGAAATGCCCCCAGCTCTGAAAAGCAGGATTTTACCCGTTTGGTCCTGGATGGTGCAAGAACATCAGCCCTGAGGTCTGTTGTCTGAGTGAAATTGATGGCAAGAGATAAAAGCCATGCAGAGCTATTGTAAGCCTCTCACGCATTCCCTTTCTGTCCAGGGATAGAGAAAAGCTCATCTCAATATGGAGAAGTGAGTCCCGGGAACTTGCTGGAGTGCCGCCCCTGCCAGGAGGGATGCGTGACGTGCGTGGACGACACCCCGTGTTTGATCCAGGAGGATTGGTCCCTGCGGGCTGCCGTCCTCTCTTGCCAAGCCTTCTGCATGCTGGCTGTCTTTCTCAGTATGCTGATCTCCTACCACTTTAGAAAGAGCAAGGCAAGGCAACAAGCTCTCACTGAGGAACTGGGTTTCACTGTGGTACCCCTATGCTCTGCTATCAGGGACTCAAACATACCCAGCCTTGGGCACATCACCCCTCTGCGGTGCCTCCTGTGAGACCCACAGAGCATATGGCCTGAGTTCTTCTCAATACCTTACAAGAGACAGGCCTTGTGTAGTGGCCTGAGCACAGGCATGGGGGCAGGGACAGCTATGTTCCCACCTGTGCTCTGATGCCACATCACGTTGGGTACCTGACATAAGCCCTCTTGGGAATGATTTTCAGAGCCCTGACTTCAACTGAAGCTAGACACACTCAGCACCCCTTACTAATTCAGACCACAAGTATCTCAGCCTGGGCCCCCAAAACCAAGACAGCCCATGTCATGTTGCTCCTTATACTCCATAAAATGCCTGCCATAATTCACTCACCAGGCCCAGGGCTGGGGGCATGGAAGCTGGCTGTATAGAAAAGGGGGCATTTACCCCTATGCAGGCAAAATGACCCCAAACCTTCCCACCCCTCAGGTCCCAAACCAGCTCTGCAGAAGGCTTCTTGTTGGCCCCCTGTACAGGGATGAATTTAACCCAAAGTCCCTTTAAGGTGAGGACAGCCAAGCATTGCAGTTGGATGGCTGTTAAAGCACAGGAGGGGAAGTCCCATGACCTCAGTTCTGTCCCCAGAATTTGGATCAATCATGTCTCCTCCCCAAGCCTCAGTTTTCATATATCCACAATGGGGCTGATAAAAATATTGACCTACTCCACTCATGGTGGGAGGGGCCTATGGTCAGCTTGTGATTCCTCGTAAATGCTTAAGAAGTGCTGTGCATTCTCATTTGTTATTAGTGTTACCGGTTTGGTCTTCTGACACTTACCTCCATTTTTCTTTAGAGTCGGATCTCCCCTAGAAAATGAAAGGTTTCCACACACTTCTACTTTTAGCTGCCATAGGAGAGGGTGCCTCCTGCTAGCGGGCTGTCTCACCCATCCCACTAGGCTAATTCCACTCCCAATCCCTTCCAACTCACTTCATTTTCCCCCGAGATTACTCCAAGAATCTAGCTCTAGGATAGAGACTAGTCTGATTTGTTGAGACATGTTCCTACCACTAGAAGGTGACCTGTGGGGGGTGCTGGGAACACCTTGCTCCTCACAGCACAGGCTCATTCAAGAATATGTTGTTTGCATTCTGCTCTGTCCTCTGCCTTGGCACAATGCCCTTGAATGATTCATTCCCCCACCACATGGGTCCTCTGCTACGTGAGTGTGTGTGCCTCTCTCTCTCTTTCTCTCCCTAGAGGATCCGTGCATCAGGAGTTATCCTGCTAGAAACTATCCTCTTTGGATCTCTGCTTCTCTACTTCCCTGTGAGTATCTGACTTGTACATGGATGCCAATGCTCTCTCCCTTTGTTCCCCTAGGTAATGCCAACTCCAAGGAGGAGGCTGGGCTGGATGGGAGTAGGTTCATCTTCTCCCATTTTCAGACCTTCCTGTGCCCTCCCTGTGCCATATTACCTGAGATCCCCAGCAGTCCCATCTCAGTCACACACGTGGGGTCCAATCCATCATGGATAGCCTTTACCCCAGGACACAAACCCCTCCTTTACCAAAACAGGTCCCAGGCTATGCTCTAAGTCTGCCTACTGGTGCCCTGCTGCAGACTCATCACCAAGCTGCGGCTTCAGAAGCTGCACCACTGTCCCAATTTCTTCTGCCTTTCTAGTTTCTACAGTCGGTGCTTCTGCTGCCTTGTCAGAGTGCTCAGGTAGTATCGTGATGAAGATAGAGTGTGCAAACACCTAGACAGGTGGATTTCAACCTTTTTTCATTTGTGGACCCCTCAACAATTTCAAATGGAGGTGCAGACCCCTTTGAATTGTAAGTGTCACATACTTTTGATTGATCAGAGGTTAAAAAATACTGATCTGGACAGATAAGAGCCCTTTGTTTCACCAGAGGAAGGACAAAGACCTCTATTTCCATCCCTGCTGGGGATGAGATCCACTCCTCCTGTCTCATGGGAACCCATTTGTGCAAGGTGGGAAGGCTCGGTCTGTTGTCAGAGAAAACCCCATGTTCCACTCAAAGACTTCTGTAGATGCAGCAGTAGCTAGGAAAAGCCAAGTAAAGATCCAGGTCAACTCCAATTCCACTGGGGCCATTTTGTACATAGACCGCTGACATCAAAGGCTCCTCAATTCCTGGGATCCGTCATGCTGCCATTGCATGAGAAGGCAAGAGGTGCTCCTACAACCCTAGAAAGCCAAGGATTCACTTGCCTAGAATGCAAATCAGGGGCACCTCAGAAAGAAGGCTGTGTGCTGTGCATAACAGGCACTGGAAGCAGTGATTGCTGGACTGCTTCCTTCACTTTTGCTTCTAAAGTAGAAATATGGATTTCTCCTCTGCACCAACAGCAACACAAAATTTGACTTTGCCCTGGGCATCCAATTGCTAATTTCACCAGTCTGGCCTTCATCAGCCACAGCAGAAACCTTCTTGAGGACTGAAAACCCTTTTTTCCTGATGACCAGTGGAATTAATCCTCCTCTAAATCTTCTCCCTCCTGAAAGATTTGCAGCATCTGCCATAGAGACAGCAGGAAGCAGTGAACAAACCTTTTGAAAAGAAGCTGATCCTCAGGCCTCTTAGCTGGTTTCTGACGCAGCCTGCTCCCTGTTCCCAAAAGGGTCAGGGGTGGCAGTAAGGCAGTACAAACTGTACAACTGCATAAAGCCCTGAGCTGGTTAGGGGTCCTCATTGCACATTTTAGCCTGGTTGTCTGGTACATTACTGTGCAAGGCCAGACCTTTGTGTGAGACCCCCAAAAACATAAATCCAGCCACAGACAAGGGGCTTAGAGGACCTCAACTAGAGCCTGAAATTTATCACCCAAGCTGCATTACCCTGTTCTCATTTTAGGTGCTTCTAGGCTGCACATCAGTGTGATATCCAGATCTGGTCCCTTCTAACATATCCTGCTAGCCAGGTCATATTCCATCTGAGGCAGTATTGTCCTAGTTGCTCAGGCAGGGGATCATGAGTCAGACACTCTGGTACATCAGTTTGGCTTCCACAGTGAATCATTGTCTGAGGGGAGGCTGTCATCAATCTGTGCCTCAACCTCCCTGTCTGCATGTGCTGGCAGCTACACAGGATACAGCACCAGGAGACACAAAAATGCAGGCCCCTTTCCCCCTTGGTAAAAGTGAGTTGTTTTCCTGTGGGCATCATATGGGGTCTGCCTGAGCAAGGCAATGCCAGCACAGAGATACAAGCAGAAGGAGTGGCCAGGTTGTCAGGAATCACCATCTATCTAGTCCCCTACCTCTAACCCTAGCTAGGAGCATCTGACTCAGGGGCAGGTGCAGGAAACCCTGCAGTCAAGGAATAATGGAATTCCCAGGAGAAGCCAGAGCATTTATGATCCTTCTTATCTATTGCCTGCTTTTGCTAGTATATATATATTCTGCTAGGGCTGCAGCCTCATTTTCACTCAAGCTTTACTGACACCAAGAAAAAAGGTGAGGACCTAACAGTGCAATTTTGTGCCAGTGCAGACTAGCCGCATGTTCTTTTTTATCCAGTTCTGGTGCTCTGGGACTTTATCATGGCCTACAAAGTCATCCAAACCCCCTTGAAAGTTCCAGCATCCTGCCCACATGGCCTAGGGGTGGCTTAAGTGTAAACAAGACCCAGGGGCAAGTGTAAAAAGTGGAAACTTCAAGTGACACAACAGCTTCCCAGGACAGAGATCTGAGCTGTGTGGAGCTACTTCTCTCATTCTCTCTCCCCTCTTTATGCTCAGGTGTTTATCCTGTACTTCAAGCCAAGTATTTTTCGCTGTATCGTCCTGCGCTGGGTGCGCATGCTTGGATTTGCAATTGTCTATGGGACCATCACCCTCAAGCTATACAGGTAATGGCACGAGGGGCTCGTTGGCCCCTGCCTCTGCCAGTGGAGTTACCCCCAGGATGGATTTTGCCCTGAATGTACAAACGCAGGAGGCAAAACCTTCACACTCCTGAGGCAGCAGCTGTCCTGCTCTGAGTCAGCCTCATAGTGACTTCCCACAGATCCAGCTTCGAGCTATGGATGGTACAGTCCTCCTCAATTGATCTCCTCTCAACAGAAGCTCATGAGGCTGCAGATTCCTTGTGGTCAAGTCCAAGGGAAACATACTGTGACTGATCCTGCTCCAAGCAGTAGAGGGCCTTTTTTTTTTAGCTACTGAACTCACTGCTGGTAGGGAGTCTGAAGTTAAATTAACATCACCTGCATGGCCTTAGTCCTGATGCATTTCATATTCTAATAACCTTCCTTTAGATGGGTTTTTCTTTAGTGGAGAAACTGCACAAGCACAATACACCAAAGCTCAGGGTGAAATCCACTCCTATACAAGCACCAGCACAAAGCCTGGGAACCACATTAAGCCTTAGTTAAGTCATCAGCTGGTCATAGAGCCACTGGATGCTAGTGTTGCTTCCTCCCTCTGCTGTGCAGGGTCCTGAAGGTGTTCCTCTCCCGTACGGCCCAGCGAGTCCCCTATATGACCAGCGGGCGGGTGCTGAAGATGCTGGGGCTGATCCTGCTCTTGGTGCTCTGGTTCTTGGCAGCCTGGACAGTGGGGATGCTGGAGAACATTGATAAGAACATCCCGCTGGTGATCCGCTCCCAGACTCCCCGGGGCCTTCAGTTCTATATCTGTGACCATGACCGGTGGGACTACATGATGGTTGTGGGTGAGACTCTGCTCTCAGGGCTCCAGATGTCACAGAAAAGGAGGTGTGGGGACATTTTTAGTTTGCCCATGGATGGCTGTCCTGGATTCCACGAGGTCAAAGAGCCCCAAGCACACACCAAGCAGGGAGCTTAGGAGACTCAATGTGCTCCTTCCTCTCAGCTTGGCTAGAACCAGCTCTGGAGTAGAGGGGTATTCAGCCAGGAGAGGATAACCACAGCCTAGACCACACAGGGCCAGATTGCCACCCCCTTACTCACACCAGAGCTGATTATAGTCCCTGAATGGCTCCCACTGATACCAGTGAGACCATTCCAGCTCTGAGGTGCCACATAGTACTGGTAAGTGTCAGAATCTGTCCTGTGGTAGGGTCAGAGCCACCCTGGAACCACAATGAAGGCTGCACCTTAGCACTGGAATGGCCCTCTGATTCCCTTTGCATGCTGGCTGACACCCCTGCTCTAGAGAGATGCAGATGGACAGACAAACAAGCAGAATGGCAGACAAGAGACCCATGTGCAAGCCCTTGACACTGCCTCTTTTCCACCTTCTTGGCCCTGAATCCACCAACATGGGATGGCTCTGGAGCAGAACCTGCCTTGTAATGCTGACTCCAGAACAGTGGTAGCCCCCTCCTCCTCGGTCCCAAAAAAGATCTCTTCTAGTTGCCAGCCATCCTGGGATTGTAGCACAGAGGCCATTTGGGCTGTAGCCCCAAACACAAGTGCACATTCCCACTTGTGTTTTATTGTCCATCCAAAGCTGAGGGAGACCAGTGTTTGGAGGGCAGGCAAGAAAGGAAGCCAGCCTGTGAACAGAAGGCTCGTGCCACCTTGGTAGCCAAAGAAATGGGATTAGCTAATCTTAAACCATTTCTCATCAACCAGGTGCCACCTGCACTCCACAGCATCCTGCTATAAAATGTAAACATGCTAGAGAGAAAGGTGCTGCACTTAATATTGCTGATTTGTCTCTCTCTCTTTCTGCCAGCTGAAATGCTCTTCTTACTCTGGGGGAGTTTCCTGTGCTATGCCACCCGGACGGTGCCCTCTGCTTTCCATGAGCCCCGCTACATGGGCATTGCCCTCCACAATGAATTGATCATATCCACTGCCTTCCATGTCATCAGGTGAGGAAAGGGAGGGAGAAAGGGCCTCTTGGCTGTACTGATCCATTGCTCTGTCTATCCAGGAACCTCCCCCCTGCTCCACTCCCCATCCACAACCACACATTTGGTTCAGAGGGAAGGAGTACAATTCTAAAGGACTTTATCATTCTGGTTCCTGGAGACGTGTGATTTACATATTTGTCTCTCCCCACCTTGGGCTGAACCTTGATTTTGCACACCCGCTGCTTTGTTTCACACACCTGCTGCGCCTTGTGTGATAGAGGCCAGTCATGAGGACCCCCTAGTGGTTTCAAAATCTGTAGGCAGATCAAGAGCGAGGGGCAGCTTGAACACCTTCAAAACCAGGTCACCTCCTCAAGCTGCTCTTTCTTCCTTCTCTTCTGATCTCCCAGTTCACCTCGTAAAACTCTGACCAGTTGACAGGCATAAAAAATAATCCCATCTGCTTTAACTCCAAGTAAAAAAAAATCCAGCCCTGAGGAATCATTCCAGCAGCAGTATATAGCAGAATCCATGATCCTCACTCTTCTCACATACCATGGGTGCTTGGAAGGGAGTCTAGTGGTTAGAGCAGAGGGGTCAGAGTCAGAAAATAGTTTCATAGTTTGTAGGGTCAGAAGGGACCTGAGCAGATCGTCAAGTCCGACCCCCTGCCATGGGCAGGAAAGAGTACTGGGGTCAAACGACCCTGGCAAGGTGTCTATCTAGCCTCCTTTTAAAGACCCCCAGGGTAGAAGTGAGCACCACTTC